CATTGGCCGCCCCATCTAAGGTGCCGCCCCAAGCATGTGCTTGGTCAGCTGGTCCCTGGAGCCGGCCCTGCTGATGACGGTTTCTGCTTGATAATGATCCAAAGCGGTGCAGGCTGATGCACATTCATTTTCATCTGAGTCAGATGCCACCAGCAGAAGGTTGACTTTCTTTTTTGGTGGTTCGGGTTCTGTAGTTTTCTGCATCGGAGTGTTGCTCTTTTAAGACTTCTGAAAGCATGCTCTACCCCTCGTCCCTCTCAGATTTTGGAAGGCACTTCAGATTCTTAAACCTTGGGTCCAGTGCTGTATCTATTTTTGGAAATCTCACATTGGTACCTTCTTTGCATTTTGTCAAATCTGCAGTGAAAGTGTTCTTAAAATGAACAACATGTGCTGGGTTGTTATCCAAGATAACTGTAACACGAAATATATATACGGGTAAAACACAGAGCAGGAGACATACAATTCTCCCCCAAGTCTCAAATTTAATTAACACATTTTGACGAGCGTCATCAGCATGGACATGACTGGACTTGTTGGCTCTAAAGTTTTACATTATTTTGTTTTTGAGTGCAGTTGTTATATAGCAAAAAACAAAAAAACACCCTACATCTGTAAGTTGCACTTTTGTGAGAGATTGCACTACAGTACTTGTATTTGAGTATTTTTAAATTCACATTTCTCATCATTTTTACAGTGCATGTATTTGTAATAAAAAATATAAAGTGAGCACTATACCCTTTTGTATTGTGTTGTAATTGAAATCAATATATTTGAAAATGTAGAAAAACATCCAAAAATATTTAATACATTTCAACTGGTATTCTATTGTTTAACAGTGCAATTAAAACTGTGATTAATCGCTATTCATTTTTTTAAATCATGATTCTTGTTTTTAGTTACTCACGTGAATTAATTGCGATTAATCAACAGCCCGAGCTGAAAGATGAAAAATCATGATGGAAATGTTGGAACTCAAAATCTTTAAACTTTTTCCAATGTCTGTCAGTTGAACTTTTAAGAAATCTTGATCCTTCTGGAATTTAGGAAGCAACATTTATTTTCATTTGGCAAATTCCTAATGAATGACTGTCTGCCATTTCCTTTCTTTCATGTTCTCTGGTTTTCCCACACTATTATTTTTCTGGAGTGATAGAAAAGTGAAACTTGCAGTGTCACACACTTCAGCTAGATAATGGTTTTTGTAAACTCTATTTTGCTGTTAGCATGTGGTGTAGAACAGTAGGGAATGTCAGCAGAAAAAGCTGGATCATTTGTGCTTAAAATCGCATTGAGGGCTTCATTCTCAATCAGGAACTCATGTCCAATTTATTTTAACTTGCATGCTAATTGTGCATCTGCATATGTAAATTCCTGTCTTGCGTCTAACTGGTTATTTCTGTATGTAAATATTTGATTCACATGCGATTTCATACTGAGATCAGGCATGCAATTCTACTCCTGGCTTTTTGGCATCTCGGGGTTTAATATTCACATATTGAATTATTTTAAAAGGAAACTACACACATTTTTGCTACCCCTGAACCTAAAGATTTACTAGGAAAAGTACACTGCTCAAGTTGAACAAACTAAAATGTAACTTAAATGTTATAGATACAGTTGGCGTTTCTTTAATGCCATGGTAGCTAGCAAAGTTCAATGTTGCATAAGAGAATTTGTAGACTTTCTATTTGAAAAAAGGTCAGCCATTCTGGAGTGTGATTCTCACTAGGTATTATGCAGAAAAATATTATTGATAACACTTGTGAGAATTTCAGATAGGATGCCCCCACGTAGTTATAAGTACTTTTTGGAGGGGGAGTTCACAGCCATGTACCATTTGCTCCCTGTAGCCCTGAAAGGAAGCATTTAAGTGGATGCTTAAGTTCATCTTTAATCAGGATGGTGCTTATACATGTGCTTAAGTCCCATTGACTGCAGAGTTTAGGTTAAACATGAGCTTAAGTGTTCTGGGATGTTGTGCTGAGTGAAGGCCAGTGGGTGTACTTAAACAATCTGTGGCATTGTTCCTATAATGCTCAGAAGTCTATGCAAAAGTGTTTTTAATAGCCAGTAACACTTGGAGGAGCCTTCATTAAATTTTTTTTTTTTTTAAAGTTAAAGAGAATGCTTTGAAAAATCTCTCTCCAGACAACAAATTATTTTTCTTTTGGGCAGTTTTATTCTGAACTTTTGTGAATGTATCCATACAATATTTTCAGAAGTGACCTTTGTGTTCTCTTCATCTTTTCAGTGTTCCTAACAGAAAACAAAGCCAACTCTGTCTTAAAAAGATACCCAAGAGCCAATGGATTTTTGGAAGAGCTAAAGCAAGGGAACATAGAGCGTGAGTGCATAGAAGAAAACTGTACCTATGAGGAAGCAAGAGAAGCTTTTGAAAATGATGACAAGACAGTAAGTCGGGTTTTTTGTTTTTTAATAATTGAATTACTTAATGTAAGCTTAAGTGTGTGCTTAGAGGCCTCCAGCTTTCCTACATTGCACTAGATTTCTTAGCTTATTCATTTTTACTAAATGCATTGTAACAAAACTAGTAAGCTACTTCACACTCCTTTGGATATTGAACATCCTCCTATGAAGAGGAAGAGAATATGTGTGTGCTGCATGCCAGACATCTTATTTAAATCATGCATTTAAAGCCATGAGAGAGAGCAGTTGAAATGCAGAGTACCCAGTAAAGACAATTTTATTATTCTAAAAACAAGCAGAATTGAAGTAGCTTTCCTGAGACTAGCAGCTGCACGCCACCAGAGTACTTGTTAAGTACCACCTCTGTAAAACCTTGAAAGAATAAGGCCCCAATCCTGCAGTGCCTTGCACATGAGGCCCCATTAATTTGAATGCGGTTCTGTGCCGGAGCAGGACCTGCTCGTGCATAATTCATTGCAGGATCAGGGCGAAAGTCTGTAAATAGAGGCAGTGGTGAGCTGGAGCCGATTCGCACCGGTCCGCAAGAACCAGTTGTTAAATTTAGAAGCTGGTGTAGAACTGGTTGTTAAAGGGGCTGGCGGGCAGGCAAACTCCAGTCCACATCCAGCCTGTGGGACCGTCCTGTCCGGCCCACCTGAGCTCCCAGCGGGGGAGGCACCCCTGCTTCCACCACCCCCTCCCCCCCCCCCCCACCCGCAGACGCCCAGCGTCGCCGTCGCCGCCAGCGCTCTGGCAGCTC